GAAAGTATGTAGTTTCTTATGCATTGATGGCACTTTTTGAACACATTGGAAAGAAAAACTCATTTTGTTTAGCAATAAACTTTTTTTCAAACTTGTTTTTTTGTTCCATAAGTTTCTGTAAAACAAAAAAATAAGTTTTATCCCAGCACGTTCTGTTTTTCCTCTCTCTCTTCAATTAGATGATGTAATACTTGTGTTTTGTGTTTCGCTTCAAATTTTTTGACAAAGTTAATCCAAAGACTATTTGAAACCCCGGATTTTTATGACAACTAAACTTAACTTGAAAATATTATTTGTTTACTATTTTGCTTACTCTCACTCACTCAATCCTTATTTATAAGTGACCAATGCTCACCAAAACTTCTTCTCCTTCTTCTTCATTTTTCTCCATCTTCTCCATTTTCGCGCATTTTCTTCTTCTTCCTTCTCCAGAAACACTCTTTTTATCCGAAATTTTTCGTGGCTCACTGAAGACACAACACATCTGCGCCGTCGTTTGTTAGTTAGTAGCGAAAAAAGACGGACTTTTTATTATAAATTTTGTGCTCGTGCCCTATTTCTTATTTTTCTTATATATGCCCTTTTCGCCCGTTTCAATTTATTCCTCAATTACTCATGTGTGGTCAATCCAGCGTTTTCTTCTTCAACTTTTTGGTTTTGAGAAAAAAATGTTCTGCTGTTTCAATGAGAATTTTGAAGATTTTTTGAACTTCTTTGATTTAAAAACAACTTCTCAATCTGAAAATTTGATTTTTTTTGCATTCCCAAATCTGACACCATTCTTTGAACTTGTGATTTGCGTTTCAAAAAAAGTTTGGAAACTGTATGTGCTTGATCGCACATAATCTTCCAGTGCTTGGAACTAGGTTTTTTTTCAATATACATACTATAAATCTATTTTCGTGTCAATTTTCAGAGCTCATTTTCTTGACTCCGCCTAGAGTTCAACAGCTCATTTTCACAGTATTTTTATTTTACGATGTCATGACTTCTCATCAGATTCTGAGACTCCTTCTCTATATTTTCAGTTATCGGACACCAGGAACTATTTTTTTTGTCATCAAATCCCTCCTCTTGTTACCATCAAAGTGATTTGTTTATAATGAAACAATTATTTGTTTGTTACATAAAAATCTTCTGAATTTAGGAAGATGGCAAAAAAAACTTATTTATCATTCACATGATCACATAAATTTCCAGTTTGGAATGTGTTGAAAAATAACACCTCCATCCCTTCTTCTTCTTCATGTTTCCATCCTTCCTCTTTTGTTTCATTTTCTCTCAATTTTTAGTGTTTTATTTTTTCCACTTCACATGGTTTATCACAATTTGTCTCAATGTCTCGACCGCACAAAAAATAAGGCCACAGTTCACATTCTCTTCTCCTATTTTTCCTTTTTTTTCTAAATTGAGACTGGGTGTTTTATTTTTAACTTTTATTTTGTCATTTGCGTAGATTTCTTTGGGGATTTTGTTTTTGTTATGTTTTGTTATATGATCAGATATGATTTATGTATGACTGGCCGACAATTTCCTTATTGAAAAAAGTTCAAGCAAAAATAATATAATGATTTTTCACGAGCGAAAAAATAAGTTTTATTATTTTTCCTCAAAACAAGTGAGAAAGAAGAATAAATCTTTTTGTTGGTTCCTCTCCAAATAACCAATTTCACTCATTTTCTCGAACAGATGGTCATTTTCATTTTCGAAATCCACTTTTAATTCGCTTCGTCAATTTTTGATGTTTCTCTAGCCAACACCAAACAGTTTAGCAAGCTTTTGTGAAACATTTCGTAATGTTTATCTTTTTCTCTCTTATTTTCCCATGAAATTATTTCCGGTTCTGTTTCTGAGATGTTCTTTCTATTCCTTTGGTTTTGAAATTTTTTCATTTTATTTTATTTCGTTTTTTTTATTTTGTTTTTATTATCACTGCCCACACAATCCACCCACTTTCCCTTCCTTACCTCATTTTCATTTTGTCATTCAAAAAAAAACACCTGAAAAATTGGATTTCAGGAAATTCAAATTTTTTTGCTTTCGAAAAAAAAAAAAGAGACCAATTTCATGCAAATCCAATTATTTCTATGTATGATATCAGATTTAATTTCAATTGGTTTTTCCCCGACAAAAAATTTATTCCTGTTTCACGGAGAATTATTTATAACGATTTTTTGAGCATTTTTTTTAGTTTCAATGAGAATTCAAAGTGCACGATGAGAATTGGCGGTTTGATGTCATAGCCATAATTTTTGCGTTGGGTGAAATATTTCTCATTGTTGAAAAAATCTCATCTCCGCCCACAAATATTTTTCAGTCAGGATTCGCAATTCTAAATGTTCGATTTTGCGAGAAACTAGGTGTTCCAGTAAGGTTGACCATCACAAAGTTAGTTGTTTCAACGTGATATTGTTTTTCTTTTTCTTCCAAAATTTTTTTCCACACACACATATACACACATTTTTTGTTATTGTTGTTAATATTATTCTGGTTCTTGTTATTTTTCTTACCACCAACACAACTAACTAAATGTTCATGTTCCAGTCAGCCTGACTTACTGACTGACATACTGTAAACACACGTTTTTTCTTTTTCTTCTTCGTCTCAAGAAATACACAATTTTTGAAACAATATTATATTATTAGTCACTCATGTTTCCTAAATGTTAGAATTTTTCTATGACTTGGTTTGGTTTGATAAGAAAAACACCACGAAAAAAAAATAAACAACAAGAAATCTTGTATTTTTCAGCGGGATTATTCTATATTTTTCACTAATTTGCAGGATGTGACTGCATGCAGATCAAATTTTTGTTGTTTTTTTTGAATGAGTAAGCTTTGAGTGAGCAAAAAAACAACAAAAAACGAAATTCACCTCATTTTTTGAGATAATGGAATTATCATTATTCTTTTCTAATCTTTGATTTTTATTTTTTATATCAAACATCAGAAGCTTGTCAAGTTTTTGCAAGTTTTTGCATGGTTTTCTTCTGTTTTTTCATATGAATAGTCAAAAGAATTGAGGTTTCATCCTAAAGTATTTATGTCAGAACGAAAAATCACAAAATTAGTTGATTTTTTGGAAAACTCAAAACTTTTACATTCATATTTATAAAATTCTTACTCTCATTTCATTAACAAACTATATTTCTTCCTTTTATAAGTTCAAAAGAACGCTCATAGCAATTAAATGAGACTGAAAACCAACCAACCCAAGACATTTGTTCAATTTTCGGAAAAAAGTCTCTTCTCTCTAACCACCCATAAAAATGGGTTTTCAACCAATTTCCAGTTTCGCCTTCTCAAATTTTTCCTTTTTCCTCACAATTTTTGAACATAGTTTGATCTTATCATGTCATCTCATCTGTACTCTTCTATACATTTGCGTTCAATTTAATTGGATTTGTTTTCTTTGTTTTCTTCCTTGAAATCTTTTTTTTTTCTGGATTTTTCTTTGCATAGAAATTTAGAAATGGTTTGGTTTGACCTGTTGTGAAACGCCAAAAATTATTGAAATTAAATCGTAGAAAAGGCTCGGTTGATGGCGCCCGCGCGACCTTCGTGGACGTATACCAATTGAACACATCATACTCTTTTTTTTCTCGCAAACATAACATTTTGTCTTTTTTTCATCATTATTATTTGGGATTCTTTGATCTACAAATTTTTATCCATGAAATACAAGAAGATGAAAAAGAATAAGAAGAAGAAAAAGAAGTTAAAAACATTGAAAGTGAAAGTTGAAATTTTTCAAGATATTTTCTTTTTCCCTTTTTATTGTATCTTGTGACGCGCAAAACCATTTCTTCATTTAAACATTATTGACATGGTCATCAGTGAACTTTTTTCTTATTTCTTATGTCTTCTAGGTTTTCCTTTTTTCACATTCGCTCCGCTCCGCTTTTTTAATAATGAATAAAATATTAACAGACATTTTTTGGCATTCATATCTTTTCTCACTTTTTTTCTTCCTCAAAATTTGCTTGTTTTATTCTCCAGTTTTCTCGACGTGGAAACTTGATAAAATTAAGAAATAAAAAAGCAAAAAAAAACATGTAGAGTTTCGCATTGTTTTCAGTGAATACTCTAATCCTACATTTTGTCTATCTGATAATCCACCTCAAATTTTAGATTGACGGACATTTTCATAGTTTGAGAGTTTCTGTTCTTGCTTGTTTTTTTTGTTTTTTTCATGTGCTATTTTGAGGCCAATCTTAAAATAGATTTTCTAAAATTATAATTTGTTAAAAATAAAAATTAATAATTAAGAAAGCGTGAAATAATCTTCTAGAAACATTTATTTTTACCTACCACATTTTTTCAGCTTCACCTGAGCTTCTGCCATTTTCAAAATTCTCCCTTCTGATTAGTGAAATCTTCTTCCCTTTCTCTCCAGCTTTTCCCCTTACAATTTCCTCAATTTTTCTCCACCTGACATAACATTGAAACCAGTCCAATTTTGACGTTAATCCAGCAAAAAAAGACGAAACAAAAAAATGCGGTAAAAAAGTGCATGAGATATGTGTGTAGTTGAGAGAAACAAAATTGGCCAATTTGACACGGAAAAGAGAATGAATGAATGAATGAAAAAAAACACATATTGAAAGTGAAATGTTAGCCAGTCAAAGTCAGTCAAAAGCATATACACTGACTGGTGAAAAGAAAATGAAGAAGAAGAAGAAGAAGAAGAGTCATTTATTTTTCGTGTGTATATGTGTGTGTGTTTTTATATGTTTTGTTTGTGTTTGGAAAAGAAAATACATGCATGATTTTGGTTTCCTATTATTCTTCTCCTTCTTCCTTTTTTTCTTCTGCTTATTTCATTTTTTGTTGTTTCTGACCTTTTTCCTCGAATAATTTTTGTTCTCAAAAAATGCTTATTTTCCTTGCCAATCAAATAAACCCCGTAGGCGTAAAAAACATTGATTTGATCGTCAAAAAAAATCATATGAGAAATAGAAAATAGAAATAGGCAAATTTTGAATTCATCCATAAACACAAATGTCGGCAATTTCTATCGATGAGCAAATTAATAAAATTCTTGCCAGAAAAATGTATGATTATGAGCAAGATATTTGTAAATGCTCTTTCAATTGTAAGGTGAGGATTACTACTAATAATAAGTGTTTATGTCTCTGTATGTTTTTTTTCTACTGTGATCGGTTTTGGGGTGAGCGGACGGGGGATACCACAACAAGGTCATTGAGGAGTGTGGGTTGCGCAAGGTGTTTTATGCATGTTTATTTTTTTTCTCTGTTACCGATCTCGTTGTTTTTCTTGGTTTTGGTTTTTTCGATTTTTATTCTAGGTTTATCTGAAACCAATACTTTTCTTTTAAATAGTAATAAAAATAAAAATATATAAGTCAAAGTACGAATGAAGAAAAAGAAATGAAAATCCTTTTCGAAATCCGAAATGACGGCATTTGTTTTTTCGCTCATTCACTCATTTTTTCCATTCATTCATTTCATTTATTCACTCATAAGGAAAACAAACAGGAAAACAAATTTTTTAGCTGGTCAAAAAAAATGTTTCTATTAATAATACCAGTCTGGTCACTTCACTTTTATAAGTAAATAGGATGGAACCAGTTATTTTTTCTCCAAATATTTTCTTTTCACTCCTTGATTTTTTTGAACACCTTCCACAATAATTTTCATATCATGAAATTGTTTGATTTCAGACAGTACGAATGTATCAATCACATATACCGGCTCCGCCGCAATTTGCAACCTCAACAAACAATTCCACAACAACAACAGCAGCAACAGCAATACCATCAAAATTATGTTGGTCAACAGGCTCAATATCAACAAATGAATAGTAACAATATGGTTGGCGGTGGCGGACAAATGGGAAATGGTCCAATGCAGCACCATCCACATCAATCACAGCATCAACAACAAACATCAATGCGTATGGCGCATCATCAACAACAAACGTTAGTTTTTTTTTGATTTTTGGGTGGTTTGTAGTGTTTATTAGAGTTCCAGAAATATGACAGGATATATTTGCAGATTTTTTCTGATTTTGTGTAGTTCTCAAGCTTGCAATCAAAAAAATTAAATATTAATCTTTTTTGTCATCCTTTTAAAGATTTAGATTCTGAATTTCCGATTTTATTCTTGCAAAATTTGTTTTACAGATTTCACAATAAAATGTTCCCACTTAAAAAAAATCTGAAAGTCCTAGGGTTCTGTGAAATTTGGGTATTTGTCAGACTTCAATTTCCACATGCAAATTTCACAAATTTATTCAAAAACGTCTCGGATTTTTCTTCATAAAACAAAGCCCATATTTCATTTCCATCTTGCGTAATTCTGATCTTCTCCTTGAACAAACAATGAAAATTGGTTCGAGAATTTTGGCGCCACAAATTGTTTTCAAAAAATATTGAACAAAGAAATTAAATTTCTAGGATTTCCTCAAAAGTGGAAATGAGATTTATGAGTTTTAAAATTCTATGAACATGTAGATGCATGAAAAAGACCGGACAAGGGAATTTCGAGCATAGATTTTATTTCTAGAATTTTCCCAAAATTGAAGGTCAGAAAAAAGAAATTTTGAGCATAAATTTCATACTGGCTGGTAATTAAAAAAAACATTATTTATGATTTTTTCATTCAAGTTGTTCCAAAAAATCATTTAGATCATACAATTTTGTACAATTTTTTGTGATAAGGTTATAAATACCTTGACGTGCTATTTTTAGAATGCACTTTTTCTTTTTTGTTAATTTCTTTTATCAACGAATTTTTTAAAGCCAAATTGAAATATTCATGAAATTGAAAAAACAAGGAGTACTTATAATTTGTTCTTCTGTATATTTGCTTATAATCAAAAATGATGAAACTTCTCATAAGTCAACTCTCAATTTCCATTTCAATTTCAATTCCTGTTTTTGTTTCTGTGTTTTTATCCAAAAGAGAGATCAATATTCTTTCATATTAAAAGTTGTACAACATACATAGGATTTGAAATGAGGTCATAAATAATAATGATATTACTTTTATGGATCGATGCTGTTAGCCTAATTTAAAATGTGATTTGTAAAGTCACAATAAATTCTGAACGTTATTTGATCTTATATCATTTTGTATATTGTTTTTCTGAAATATATTTTCAGACAAACACAAATCTTTATTTCATTCATTTTTCAAAAAAAAACCTTCATAATTTTAATGAATCTAAAACTTGTGATAATAATACCACGCACAGTTATTTTTGTCAGTAAAGTTTCCAGTTTGAGAGAGGCTAACAAATTAAATAAAAACAAATTATTTACTTTGCGTGTATGCTTCCGACAAAGTTGTTTGTTGGTATTTTTGTTTTATTTGAACAAATTTTCAGTCATATTTTTGGAACACTATTTTTTTCCCGCAATTATTTTTCATTTTGACGATTTTCTCATGGATCTAATACATATGTAATTATCAACAAAACAGAAAAAACGAACACTTTCTTTCTTGAATATATTTTTTCGTTTTTCAAACGATCTCTCATTTTTCTTACTCAACACACCAAAAAAACAAGGTCCACTTGTTTACTCAAAAAAATTGAGAAGTTTTTATATTTTATATTTTTTTCTTACAGAAGCTCATATCAACAGCCAACTCCGATGCAAAGAATGATGAATCAAGCTGGAGGAGTTGGAAATCTTAATGCTCAACAACAGCAACAGCAACAAAATGTTAATAAAAGGCCCTGGGATTATTATCATCAACAGACGCAACCAACAGCTCAGGTAAGATTATCCCTCCTTGTTTTTTCCTTATCATTCATAGAAATTCTAATCTTTTTCTTTTTATTTTCAAAATCATAATCGGAAATTGGGGAAAATATTTTGAAAAAAGTCTGATCATCGGAACAAATCTCATGATTTTATTTTGAGAAAATTTAAAAAAAAATGTTGATCATGGTTCTAAGAAAATGAGATCAGCAGAAAGAATCAGGTTTCTTTATTGAGAGAAAAATATAAGTATGGGGTTTTTTGTTAGGGATGTTAGAATCCAAGATTCCTGAAATGGTCTGAAACTGTGATTTAGAATTTGAAATTAACCTGAACATTAAATAATTTTTGTGCTTTGGGATTTGATGATTTTTACAATGCTTACAGTATTAACCTTGATATAGGCTCCTAATTCTCTCTCACTGTTCAGTGAAATTTTATCTTATTTTGTGAATTTACTTATTTTGAAAATTATGAAAAGATTCGCAATATGTGTTATCAGTCTTAATAGTATCCTCAGTTCTCAAAACTCCCACAGAAAGGCTGTCGATATTTTCTCATATATCAGAAATCAAAAATAATTAAAAGAATTCAATTTTGACTACAGAAATTTGTCATCAACAAAAATCAAAACTACAAATTCATCCGTTCGTTTCATTCATTCATTCATTCCACTGATTATCTTCTTCTCATCTTTTTTCGATTCTCAAAACAAAAATATTTTTGTTTACATGAACAATGTTTTAGTGTTAATCATTAAAATAATATCATTTCCTGTGTCATCACACAAAATTTTGATTCACCATTTAGTCAACTCAATTTTCATTTTGAAAAAAAGAGAAGAAAAAAAAAGAAAAAACAACAAATCTCATTCCCATGCGTGACATTTCATAACTTTAACTTTCTCATATGACATCACCCTTAAAATTATGGGAACACATTTAACAAATACATATATACAAAATGTTTTTTCTTTTTATATTTTTGTATATATATTGTTGTTATTTTTATTCTTTCTGAATGTGAGGATGTATCCGGAAAAACTGATTTTCTATATATTACAGATGAACATGCAACAAACTGCACCAGTGCCAAAGACAACTGCAAAACGCAAGCGTTCACAAAATAAGGCTGCACAACAACTTGAAGAGCCAATGCCGATTCAACATTTTCAACCACCACCACCATATTCTTATCAGCCGGTTAGTTCATTTTCGAGTTAAGGGAAATTGAAATTCGAAACCTGTAGGCTCTTGGGATAAACACAATTTAAATTTGCCATTTTTTAAATCCATATTTTGAGTTTTTAATAGCTACAAAATATGTATGTGAGTTATTGAACGTGCTCTATAATTTAGTTAAGCTCAAAATACTGGTTGAAAATCGTCTGACTTTAAGATAAATTTTTAGATTGACCTTTTTATAATTTAATTATTATTTTGAAAAAAGTTTAAAATTCTTTGAAATATTGAGAATCATTATTTCAACATTTTTTATTCCATATTTTGAAAATCCCAAATTTTGGTGTGACCTTTCCGTTTTCAAAAAAAATCGGAAGTAATTATATCTGAATCCATTTTGTTTCCAGTTGGATGAAAAAACAAAGTACATGTTTTTTTCGAAATAGAATTTATCGTCAACTTTTCCTTCCTGCCATTTTTTTCTGTAAACACCGGATCTTTTCAATTTCCGTTCAAGCACTGAAAGTGCTTTAGATGATATTAAAATTATCGCCTTTTTTGTTTTATATGATATACATAGACTTGACGTCAATCATTTTTTTTCTCTGCCTAAATATATAAATTTAAATTATTTTTGTTTTCAGCAACCTCAACATCAGCAACAAGCTGCTCAACAAATGATGCCACAAACAATGCAACAAATGCAACAACCGCAACAACAGCAACCAAATAATCAACAATATTTATCGGCTCCCAATAATTTCTCACCAAATTCTGGAAATGGACAATACTGGAATTCTCAACGACCTCCATCAAGATCGGAAATTGTGAGAATGGGACTTCGAAATGCACTTCAAGCCAAACAGCAACAACAACAACGTGATTTTGAGCAACAGCAACATCAACGTAAGAAGGGATCAAAACAAAGGGAGGGGCATCTGGATTGGGGGAGGGGTGTACTTTGTATTGTCTTGTTTTGAAGTAAGGTTTCAAGATGAAGGCGTTTTCTATTTTCAACACAGTTTTTGTGATTCCCGAATAATTTTAGGCCTTTTTTCAAAATACACTTTTCAATGAAAAATGTTCTGTTTCCAATTCATGACACATGACTGACTAGGTTACATATTGATGACGAAATTGTTGGTTAGATAATAAAACATCAGTCTCTATTTTATTTTTTATAAAATCGAAATCAAAATCATTCTGATTCATTTTTTTTCAAATTTATTTTTTTATAGAAAACAAATTATTTTAAATCTTTTGTAATCTTGTATGAGTCAATATTCGTCTCAAATATCTAGAAAAAAAAAACAAGATTTCAACCAGTCTGTTTTCTTTTTTGAATCCCTAAATATACACATTTAATTTTGAAATGTGTCATTAGGTCATTGTGACACCTGCTAGGCTAGTAAATTCGAGAAAAATACATTCATTTTAGCGGGTGTAACGTACATAAATGTATAAATTTATTGTTCAATTGTACAATTTTCTGACGTGTTCCCTTCATTTTTCATATTCATATTCATTTGTTCCCATAGAATTTTTATTCATTTTTTCTTAAATCAACTTTGAGTTTAGATTAGTTAAATATAATGAATGGGTGTTTATAATAATTGGTTATATATCCTTTATATTACCTCCTTCCTTCCGTTTTGCTCAAATATATGTATACATACATATATAATTAGAACGGCTCAAGAACAAGCGCCGCCCATTTTTTCACCCACCCTCCTTCCTTTCCCATTTTCCCTTGAAATATGTATAAATGTTGTCCTTTTTACACCTCTCAATTTTATTTGTTTCAGAAAGAATGCAAGCTGCTAAACAACAACAGCAAATGCATAATCATCAAGAAATCCCACAAATTCAAATGAATGGACAAAATGTTCCACAACAACAACAACAATCACAAATGGTTCAACCACAACAAATGTCAATGGGTAATGATATGAGCAATAACTATAATATGCCTCAACAACCTATCAATCAAAATACACCCATTTCAAGTGTTGCGAGTAGCAGTTCAGCGAGCTCGTCGATCTTTGATTTCTCAGATGATTTGAATTTTATTGATATTAATGTAAGTTGAAACTGAATAATTTTGAAAGTGAGGTGTTATAAAAAAATATTTTTCAGGATGGAGATATCCCAGTTTCCTACGCCAAACTTGAACAAAATCTTGCCTCACTTCAAGTTCATGATTTCCAACTTGCTGGAAGATGTGGAGTAAGTTTCCTCACTATCAAATGTTATTTTTTATCCCTCATAATATAATTGTTTTCAGCAATTTGATATGGATAATGAAAGTACTCGCAGTTTGGTCATGCAACTTCTTCTACTCAAATAATTTTAAAACTTATCTACACAATTAAAAAAGAGGCAAAGAAAAACAATTCTAAACTTTTTCCTAGTATCTGATCTCAAATCTCATCATCATTTCCAAAAACCAAACATCACCAATTTGTTGTGATAGCCAAGTGATAGTAGTCCATGTATTTTTAACCCTCTCCCAAAAGAATGTGAATCATAATATAATAATTGTGTATCCCATAGTTTTCTGGTCCCTTTCTGTTTTTTTCGTTTCCTGTCAATTTTTTGAATGCTCTTTTTCTTTGACTCAAATCAAATTCAATCCATACTCATTGATATCATCCAATCAACGATCAATCAATTATTTATATGTATTTTTTTCAAAGATTTTTTTGTTTCTCATAGATCATGTTTTTACTTTACTTTATTACTTCTTCGGTTTGAAATAAAAATAAAATAAATGAATTTATTTTTGTAAGATATGATTTTCCTTGTTTATAGTACAATCCGATTTGCTCATTGCTGCTTTATGATGGGAGAAAAACAAACTTTTTTCCCTTTTTCAGATGGAAAAAAAAAATTAAAAAAGTGCACAATCTTGGGAAAAATTTCTATATTTAATATGAATGGGAATAATATTTGCATTCATTATGAAAAAATGTTGCATTATGTATATTAATGAAATTGAATCCTAATGTGAAGGGTTTTGGTCAGCAGGAAGTATTTTTCTGAACATTAAGAAAATAAAATAGTGATAGTTGTTTTCGAGTGGTCAACAGCAGCAAGAAAACATGTGTTAATTATTCATTGAACGAGAAAAATAAGATGTTTACGAGTTGTTTATCGTTTTTTGAGCAAATATGTTCTTGTTTATCAACAAAATGCGTTCTGATTATTGGAGGCTTTATTGTTTATTAATGAAATGTCTAGAAAAGGTGAAATTTAATTATGGGGAATGGAAATAAAATGAAATTTTTGGTCAGCAGATGTAAAATGTCAGAACCCATTTTTTGCAGAGCAATTTTGAGAGGAGAAAGCAAACATTTTGAAGATTTTTGGTGTAGGAAATTGCAAATTTCCTCTTACAGAATTGATCGGAAAATGAATTTATCAATAAAGAAAACATAAATAAATGGTGGAATCTTTAAAGAACACGTTTATTGCTTTTTTCATTCAGAATTTTGAAACTACTAGGAATTTTATGGAAAATACGTGATGCTAAAGAATTTTACGCCGTTCCACTGTTTTCCAAACCTTCAAGGCTATTTATCTGAAAATCTTCCAGAAAGATTATAATTTTGTATAAAATAATTTCTATTTAGCTTGACTTTTTTATAAACCTTCCCATTCAAAAACTTCGTTGTATCTAGTTGATCCCTTGAAATCTCGTGAGAAATTATTATTTTTAGACATTTTTTGTTTTCAACACCAATTTTTCGGCAGATCAACAAGATCATAGAACGATTTCTGTCTCATCAGTCTCTCGAAATACAATTTCCGACCCGACAATAAAAAATATATCTAAAGATAGTTCTTGTCGTTTTTCGATCATCTATAATTGAAAAAGTCAATTCCAGGATGTCACAAGGATTTGAAGATCGAATTAACAACGTTTATATAAATATTTTCGTTGGAAAAAGTGACGAAGAAATATGAAAAAAAAAATGACAAACATTTTGAAACGCTCGGATGTGGTCTACAATTATAATGTTACTCACCTGTACCCGACCTTTCTATGTATTTATTGTCTTTGTATTCGTGGCAATTATTTCATAAATAATACCCATGTTTTCTAATCGTTTGAACATCTGTGTTCTTTTTTGAGCAAAACCAAAGTATCTTCTATTTTTTTTTGAAATGAAGCTTCAAAAAAAAACAAGAAGAAGAAAGCTAAAAAGAGATATTCCAAACGATTCAAGGAAAAATTCGAACAATAATAAAAATATATTGGAAATTCTATTCTTCCCTTTTTGTTAGTTAATATAAATAAACATCGTTGTTTTTCCTTCCTCTTTTCTGCTATTCTCTACTCATCTCGCTGCGTTGGTCAAACAGATTTAGTTTATAACCGGCTAGTGAACAGATGTCGCTGCCTGGTTCCATGGTGTAGTGGTTAGCACTCAGGACTCTGAATCCTGCGACCCGAGTTCGAATCTCGGTGGAACCTACCTTTTTGAAATTGTGTTTTTTGAGTGGGGATATATATGATTTTGGAAAGGATCAAAAGAGAGAAAGTTTTTTTACTTGGTGTTTTCTAGTTGTACACAACAAAGAAGTAAAATGAACAATTTTTTTTTCAGAAGGTTGCAGAAGGTTTTTCAATGAACTCCAGTTTTAGCTGATTGTGAGTTCAGTTCCGAAATCCTGGAGTAAAATTTATTGCTGGCTTTTTTTAAATAAAATAACATACTCTTTTTTTTCAAATGTGAATATGTTGTTCACAATGTGTTAATTAATTTGTGAAACTAAACTTTTCAGAAACAAATTTATTTTCAGATTCAATTGTGATTGAAAAAACAATTTCAGAAAAGTACAAAAACTTTTCATCGCACCTTTTGTGGTTCTTTTGCAACACAACAGTTTTTGTAGAAAAAACTCGATGTTCATTTTCGAACCCAACTGGAATTTTCGATTCAACAATGAACATTTCAAAAAGATCTAATTTGTTTTTCAATAGTCAAGCAATAAAGTATTCTTTTCACTGACTCAAATTCCATTTTCTATTGCATTTCAGAGAACATTCCTACACCCACATCACCTATCACCTCAAAACAGATTTCACTTCCAAAAAAGGATCTTCATGTTTAATTCAGTCGTGTTTCTTTGAAAGCTAGTTAAGATGTTTCATTTTCTCACGTCTCATATTTTTGTTAAAAACATAAATTGGTTAATTATATATTTTTTCTGTTTTGTTATTTTGCTTTTTTTTGAACACCTTCTTCAATAATTTCCAAGAATTTCTTGATATTTTTCTGCCAGTTTTCGATAATTAAACATAACCAAAATTCTTTATCTTTGAAATTAAAATTGGTGGCTATCAGTCAGTCGTACAAATTAGAAATAAAACTACAAAAAAGTGTCTCGAATCGAGCCCAGGTATTATTTTTTCGTCCAGAACAATGACCAGTTTTAGTGAGAGAAAAAACATAAACCAATTTTTTTTCGTGTTCTGTTTCAATTTTCGAGAAACAAGAATTATTCAACAATTATTTTGTCATCCATCGTTTCAAAAAAAAAATACATTTTCATTTTATGTATATATTTGAATGATCTTTTTGATTTTGAAATTATATGCTTCGTATTTTTTCTGTAACAAAGGTTTGCCTTTTGTAATTGTACTTTTTTTCATTTCCTTCATGTTTTCTTGATTTATCGTATTGGAAAATAAATAATTAACCAAAAAAAGTACCACAATAATCTGATAATTGGAGAAAAACATGTGAACATCAAACATCGCAACTTCCTAAACTTACTTTCGAATTTTCATAAAAAACATGATTATTGTTTTGCTGATTCATTCTCAATTTTTTTCTGAAGTTTCTTGTGTTCAAAATAAAACAGATCTCTGGAAACTTATAGAATTTTTCACTGTTTTCGGTATATATAATTTTGAATTTCATAAAATAATATGAGTTATGAACACAGTATGTTTCAAAACTTTTATTTCCAAATGGGAATTCTTTTCTTGTGGAAACTCTACATTTTTGAACACAGAGTTTATTTCAAAACTAGAAAATCTCAATAGTAAACACTCCAACTTGATTTTGATGTGTATGTGGTTGTGTGTAGTAAAAACTAACATGTTTCCTAATTTTTTCAAGTATTTTCAAAAAAGTGAACTAAAAATTCATGGTTGAGTTAGTTTTTCAAAGTTTCAAAGATTGTTGCAAATAATATTTTGCCAACAGCGAAAAATTTGTTTTATTTACCTTTTATGAGATCTTTGAAAAATAAGAAACAAAAAAAGAGAGAAAAAAGTTTTTGGATGGTCCTTTTTATTTGTTTCTTTTTCCCTGCCCCATACGTTTTTTTTCATTTCCTTCCATCAATTAATTTTTGGTTGTATGCGTTTCGGATTTTTGTTTGTTTGTCTGTTTGTTGAAGAAAAACTCGCTCCACGTGAAAATTTGGGCAAAGTTTGACCTATTTTTCGCATTTGCCATTGAGTGCACATTTTTATTACACACCCTGAAATATAAATTAAACCCAACTGAAAAAATAAGAAAGGGAAACTCTGTTTTTTACTATCTTATTATTTTTTATTTTTCACGAGTTCTTCGTGGACCAAGTTTCCGGTAGGTTTCTCACTAATTAGTTGGAGAAACAAAACAAAATGATTCATTTCTAGTAGGCGAGTAGAATTTTCTGCTCTGTAAATCAAAGTTCCAGCAAAATTTAGTTTTGTTAGTCGCGTTGGTGTTGATGTAACAAAGTTTGACTTCAAATACAAAAATCAGACTCTAGACATTTTCTTGTTAACAAGAGTGGAGGAAGACTTTTTTTAGGGTTAAATTATTTGTTCAAGAATTATCAGAAAAAGTTTCAAAGGTTCATCATCAAAACGTTTCTCTCAAAATAGTAGATAATATTCCGCATGACTAAAAATTGAGTTCAAGCAAGAGCACCTTTTTCACTTTCTAAACAATTGCTCCTTTTTTGGCGAAGATTGAGTGCTTACTTTAAAATAATACTTTGTTGTTTTTTTCTCGTTTTTTGTGTGCTTCTTTGATTTTTCACGATAGAAATGTCTGAATGTGAGCAAAACACATACAAACAGTATTGTTTTCCGATTTTATAGTTGACTTTTCCGAGAGGCGGGTAATATTTTTATTTGAAATCTATTCGGTAAACCGGAAAAAAATAACAATGTGTCAGATTCTCACGTTTATTCCAAATTTCACTATCATCCATGTTTTTAGTTTGTGTAAAACGTTCCACATTTAATTGGATAATCTCATTTTCTGGAACACTATGATTTTTTCTTCTTATAGAAAAGTTCTACACCAAAAATCACAAACATTTGTTTGTAAAACACCAACACTAATACTTGCTTTCTTCCGTTCCTCTTTCTTTCTTAAAATGCGTGTTTCGCTAATATGAGAAAAGTTATGAAAAGTAAAAAAAAAATAAGATTAAGAATGACTTAAATGTAAATTGTACTATATCAAAAGAAGCTAATTTTTGTTGACTTCATCGTGCATTTTTCTAATGTAAGTTCATCTTTGCACATTTTCTTCTCTGCTCAAGAAAGATACCTTTTGTTTTTCAAAAATTATTCTTATAATTTTTTGTTTGTCATGTTTCAATTTCTATGATGATACAACTAAATCACATGTTTTGATTCATAACATGATAAAAATCAGGCTGATTTTCTGGATATTTGGCAGAATATGTACTTTACTATATTAATTGCAATTTTGTGATCAACATGGGAAACTGACATTTATCATAATTATTTCCATTTTTCTCGGAAAGTATTTCAAAAATTTTTAGAATTTTTTGAGGAACCAAAAAAGGTTCTTTCTTTCATTTTGATTTTTCCCTTTTTTATACAAAAGACAAACGCCGTTTTTGAATTATGACGGCATAAACTACTTTTGACAAAAATCTTTTGATGTCATAAGAAACTACAATACAAGCTAGATGAAAAAAATAAAAATTTATTTGATCTACCGTAGTTTTCAGCTTTTTTTTACTGAACTTACTGTTCCAGCCACAACAATCGTGTTGAAAACCTATAAAATTTGGAAAATTCCAAATGAGAGAACAATAATAATAATTTGTTTTGCGAACATTTTTCTCACGAACTTTTCCATAAAATTTTTCCTTCATTACAATTTCACCATTCTCATAAATTTTCCGTGTGCTAGATTGTAATACTATTTTTTTCACGAAAAATTTAATCTTTTTTTATCAAAAAATGGTCATTTCATATTCTTTGTTGTCCGTCCGACGAGAGAAGTTTGATAGAAAAAAAGAGAGAAGCAAGAAAAATTGTTTCACAGATGTTGCAAATTTTCTCATGAATAAAAGTTTTGTATCTGACATGATATTGAGATAAGTCAAAAATTAAAAAAAAAAAGAAAAATAATATCAAAACATTATTGCTAAAAATAATTTGATCATTGAATATTTTGTATTTTTCCTGCAATTTTTTCCAATTATAGGCAATTCAACTAGGTTTTTTTTCATTCTCTCTCTGTTTTTTGTTATATGACTAATACCATTTTATTTTTCGCAACTTGACGGAAATTTGATATTATCTAAAATTTTTTCATTCGATTTTTTCAATGTTGTTGTGTTTTTATTTTCTAGTTCTGTTTCTGTTATGTTTGATGAACATGGTATGCACTTTTTTCATGTGTTACTGAAACAAAAGATAGAAAAATCGAACATTTTTGGAATTTTTTGTTGTTCATTTCGTTTAATGCTCGTTAAAACTAATTAATTTGAATGGAAAAGTCGCGATTTTTTCGATTCTACTGCTATTTTTCTGTTTCGAAAAAGTTTTACCAGTTTTTTTTCCAAAAAAAATTGTTTTTTTCTCTTGAAGGGTTCCTCACACTTCAATGCTTCTTTGCTGTTTTTCAGATAATTAATTAATCAACTGAAAACTTTTTTCTGATAAATAGATCTCGTTGAATTTCACTTTCTATGTATTATTGATAAAATAACACATTATTAGTAAGACCTTAGGGCGTTTATGTGGAAATATAATACCTAATGATAATTGTATTGATAACCTTATGTATTGATTTGTTTTCTTTAAACTCGTTTATTATTTTTTCTGTTGATTGTTTATTTACCTCCTGGAAAAATGGAAAATAATCTTCTTCATCTTTTTTCACATTGTTCATTGATTATGATGTCACATTTGGTTTATCATCAAAAAGACAAATAACAGCAGGAAAAAAACTTTTTGTTTTTTCCAGCACAGCAGTAATGCTCCGACCATCTCGATCAGACCCTGTCCTGATTAAACCAAGTTATTCGGAATTTGTCAGGAAGTGGAACAATATGAAATGTAAGTTAATTTAAGATTGGGTTTATCTGAAAAGGCATATTCTAACACATTTAATTGAAAATTTTTTTGTTTATTTCGAAAATATGATATTTTGATAATTGGGCTAAATTTTGAATTGAACTATATTCTGAACATGTTTTGAAGCTACCAAAAAAGTACTCGACCTAATTTTATTGTAAGAAGTTCTGTTGAGAGACTACGACCATCCACGTTTCGAAAATTTCAGAAAAACATTGAGTCGATATAGAATTTTTCAAAAAGTCGCTTTTCAAAATTTTATAGATGATATGTTCACTTTACCCCTGAAAAATGACAAAACGATTTTTCTCATTTCATTTTCTTCTTAAAATCACTACTTTTAATGAAATGCTTTTTGTTGTTTTTATGTGACGAAAAAAGTTCCTTTCCCAGATACTTTGAATGAGGAAGTGGAAGTAAAAACAATACATAGTGACTTCCTTTTTTTTATTTATGGTCATCGAAGAGCCTCAAAACTAATTTTTATTTCATAATTGGCTTTAATGAAAAAAGTTATACCTTAGTGTAAATACTTTGAGTTTTGATTGTCTCCCTCGTATATATCAAAAAGTGTCTAAAAATATCTACAAAATACAGAACTATGTCAGTACAATTTTTATATTCAAAACAACAAATTTCATATGTTGGCACTGTTGATTTCTCTTTATTTTTTTTCATTTTCATATTATTAGTCAGAAAAATCCAAATTTCTGGATCAATTCTCTTAACATGAAACCTGACTCAATCAAATCCCGTGTTTTTGTTTAACACCTCCATAATGTGTGATTTTTCAAGCACGCAATTTTGTTATTTTTCATGACAAAGCTCAATCAGCAAAAGACAACAATTCAGATTTCCTTTATTAATTTCTTGTTTTTCATGTTTTCCTTTTCCCCTTATGAAAATCATCATTTTCATTTTGAGAAATCAAGAATCATATGTTAGAAATAAGTTAGAAATCAAAATCATCTCCACATTCTTGAGTTTATAAATTTTCCTATTGATATGTTTTCTTTAGAAATCTTTTTTTTTCAGAAAAAAACCTTTATTTTTACGTCACTTTATTTAGGGCAAGAGGATTCATGTGTTTTTTCTAATTCTTTTGTTTGGGGAAGAAAAGAAGACATATTAACCTATCTATATGTAAACAAGATATTGTCCTAAAAACCGACAAAAGAAAATAAAAATCGAAAAATCACATTCATATTCCTACATTCATATCTATTTCCAGACGAAGGATATTCTTTTGTTGCTCCAATTGCGGTCGACCAACTCTACGGAATATTTGTGACAATAGCTGATGTAAGTTTATCTCATCTATTTTCTGTAGCATTATGTTCCTTCTATTCATCATAATTAATCCTATATGCCAAACATTTTTCTTTCTTTTCATTCCTTTTCTTTTTCAGTCTTCTAAATCGGTTGTTTCTGCATCTTCCCCTTCAGCACCAGGTTCTTCTGCAACGTTTTTCTCAGCACATAACAATTTGAAAATGTCGAAAACTGATCGTCAACGTCGAGAGAAAAAATTGGCATTCCAATTGAAACGCCGAAATTCGGTTCTGATGGCGAACTGCAGAGAAGTTATTAATGTTCCAGGTATGTTATTTTTCTCTAGTATGATAAAAAATTATGTAGTTTGGACACCCTTGGGAGATTGAGCTTATTAATTTGATTTGATTTGTTGGTCGGTTTTTGGTAAACAATGTTGTCATCCTAAAAATCTGAATGACACACCTTTTTTGAAAACTAAAAATAGATTTGTATTTGTTGAAAAAACAACTCTCAAAGCGGACCTATGTCTTATCAGTTAAATTAATCCCACAAGTCGTAATGTTTCGTTTGTTCTCTAGTAAGGGAATTGTGAAAAAGTTCAATTCACAAAAAATGTCATAAAACATAATAAGTGAAAAAAGTTGTTCTAAAAAAATTTCAACAGTTCTGATATTTTTATTGATCGAAACTGTCAAATTTTCTTGAAATAATTCAATTTCAGGTGGAATGCGACGTGCTTGGTCATCAGTTGAATTGCGTGAAACATGTTGCCAAGAAACTACAACAACAAAACGTGTCTCGTTTTCTGTCAATCTGCCCAAATCTTCAGCTCCAAACAATCATTATGAAATGGATCGCGGAACATATGACTTGGGGCCTGCAAAGGTAATACAAGTTGTTTTCGGACAATCATAGGCACAGAGTCGATAGTGATAATTGATAGTGATAATAAACTCTTTTCCAGATCCCTGCTCGGCCAATTTTGCGTCGCACAACATATAGTGGTGGAAAAGACAGCTTAGAGCATATGGATTTCGATATGTTCACAGCTTGGCGACGTGGCTCAAAAATGAGCGATGATTGTGAGAAAAGTCGGAAGAAGAGTATCAAAGAGGAGGAATCTTTGGGAAAAACTCGGAGAGAAAAAGCATCCGATGATATGTGTTGGATTGTACGAGTTGTAAAGGTGAGCTTTATTCTTGACTTGTATTTTCATGATATAATATTTATGTGAATTTCAGATGGGTTTTGATAGTTGTTTTCAACGTCGGCGAGTTACACCAAGTCCTCCGCCAACCACAATTTCTTCAAACGACGAATTGACAACATCGACAACTAATTCGGGTGCAGATGATGGAATTGTAATGGCAAACGCCGAATAACTGCTTTATCATACCATGTCATTTTTTTGCTGATCTCATTTTTAGTTTTCTATTCTATTATCACCTAATCTATCCTATTCTATCCTATCGCTTCTTGTTGGTTTTGAAATCATAATTTCATGGGTTTTGTGCTTTTTTTCTCCTCTCGCGCTCATTTCTTTTTATGTATGAAAAGAATCATTATGTATTGATCTGAACTTGTGAACTGATTTGAATAAAGTAATTGTAGATTATGTGTATTTAAAAATTGTATGTTTAGAATTAAATGCATCATTTTTAAAACAATCAAAAGTTGAAACTTTTGATCTTTTTCTGTGAAAAATTTCATTATATTTGTTTGTTTGTTTTTATTTGAACGTTGTGCACGTGGTGATATCATCCTACGTATTTCTTTTCAAAATTAAAAAAAAGTTGGTTTTTTTTCCTAATGAAATGAGACAGAGCGATGAAAAAAAAATAGGGAAAAGGGTTCAAAATGTGATATTATGGAAATTAAGAGAACAATTGTCAATTTTCAATATTATTATTGAATAAAACACATTTCTCAGTTTCTCCATATATTTTTGAGCCGAAAATCACAAGAAGATTAGAATATTTGAATATCCTGAATTGTGATTGTGAGCACACTTGGTTCGAAAAACAACGCTGAAAAACCAACCATGAATAGTTTTCCGCACTATATACTATTCAAAATCATCAAAAAATCAAGTTTCAGAAATTTCATTCAATAGATACAATAACATTTGTATTATACAAGACATTTCTTATGAGAAAAAAAAAAAGAAAAACATCGAATCGAAAAGACAGGCATTTTGTTACAGGCATTCAAATGGAAAATTTAAAAAAGTGAATAATTACCCGATTGTCAACTGACATACAGATAGATATCGAAAATTTCGATATATTCGAGATTATTTTAAGGGGAAACCTTATTGAAAGTAAAATTGATCAGTTTAGTTGGCTTGCGAAACTGTGGCATAAATCCAGTGACATCCAATCATACCTTCTTTGGTGTCATGAAGAATGCTGTTCAATTTCTTTGGATCCATGTTATTGATTGGGCGATCAAACAAGCGAGCAGCAATGACGAGTGGGATTTCCTAAAACGTTAGAAAATAATTTGAAGTTTTCAGAAAATATAAATGAAACATACACCAGATCTAGCTCTCGAGCTAACAAAAAGATCCCAAAGTTGTTCAGCGCGTGAAGCATTTTGGTCAAGGAATGGAAGGAGTTCACTTTTGGTTGGGAGACAAACACGAAGTGACAAATCACTGTATGAACCAGCTTGAAGCCCTTTAACCGAGCATTGAGCTGGTTTGTTTCCTTGGAAAATTTGAACAAAGTTTTTCAAAGATCCACCCATTGTGTGACAGATATCGCAGTGAACACACGATCCGATTCCACCACATCCATTTGAATCAGCATTCACACATCGTTCTGGCTTTCCATGGATTCCAATTCTGGTTTCAAGATGAACGAAATATTTCTTTGATCCATCGAGACCTGGAGCAGTTACTTCAACTTTTCCTCCGGACATTCTGAAACACTTGTGACCATTTTCTCCAACTTCCTCGTGGAATTCAACTCCTGGTGTCTTATATGATGGGAACTTGATAAGCACATTCTCCTTCTTTGGACCTGAAACAAATCGGATCATTTTTTGAATATGACTCATAAGATTCTAATCATCTAGAAAAAAATACTTGCGTGAAAAGGATGATCGGAGGCCGACAGAAAAACCGGAAATCTTCATCTTTTATTTATGATACCTTTTTTTCATATAATTTTTTAGATAAATCAAAATGTGTGTTTATTGCCTTCCACTCACCCCCAAGGACGCGCACTTGTATTGATGAATTTCAACAAAAAACGTTAATGATAAATTTTTATCATATCGATTTATCGATTTTTCAGATATTTCAAATTCACTTCAAAATAATGAAAACTAGCAAAAAACTGGTTTTCTATTGAGAATGTTATTGATATTATGTCATTCTATGACTCTGGTGTTTGGTTGATTCAAAACACATTGAAACAATTAAAAGTCAGATATTCTATTAGAGAAAATCAGAGCTAATACTGAAAATTTCAGAGAAGATATTGCAAAAATTATGAAAACAAGTCATTTTTTACTTTGATTATGAACTAACCTGAGCTGGCAGAACATGGGAAATGTCGTTCAATGCGAACAGTAATCTCCGAAGATGCAGCCAAAGTAGTAGCAACTACAATAGCCGAAACAAGTAAAAAAGTTTGAGTAGTCGTCATATGCGTATGCGTGTTTCTCGACACACTGGCCAAAAAATCAACACCTAAATCAAGACACCGTGATACAACCAACACAAGTGAATGGGCGGAGCGACGCCCGCAGGTTACAAGACGATGAAGAAGAAAAAAAAATAAAAAAGAGAAGAAAACGATTGAACAAGACGATATATAGAATAAAAAAAGACGCAAATTGTATGTAAGATTGATGAGGCAAAAAATTTCAAAAAGGAAAAAAGCGCAAGACACGCGCGCTTATATCAGTTACAAAAACGTCTGTATGCAACATCTTCTTGACCTACGAAAAAAAGGCGAAAGACAAGAAAACTTTATTTCTACGACACGTTTTAGTTGATCTATGAATTCATTCGACATATTTTTCATTTTCTTTTATGTTTGACGAATCTGGGTGGATTTGATTGAGACGACTTCATTTTTTGGATATGGAAAACAAAAGTTCAACTAACAAATGACGTCACATATTTTACGTTTGAAACTGTCAATAGTATGATTTATGGAAAAAAGAAACAATGGGCATTTGATAACAATTTTTCTGTTAACTTGACCAATCGTTTTTTTTTCAAGAGATAGGTTACAAAAAAAATTTTATGCATTCAAAAGTGGAATTAAAAGAGGCATCACTGATGAGACCTCCTCTTTACCGTCTGATGAAAAGGTCGAAACGGTTTCTTGCGTTCTCTCTACCTCTTTATCTTCTTAACCTTTATTTTAATTCCTTACAAATCAGTAATTTACCTATAATTAATTCAAGTGACATCAATGTTTTTACTTTGAAGAAATATGTTTCTATTCTCCATTCAACAAATAACAACTAAAGTACATATTTGTATTACTACAATCATGTCAGACAATACCAAATTTTTTTTTGATCAACCTGTTCATGTTTGGAACAATTACATCACGAGCTTCGTTTTTTTCCTTTTCGGTTACTGTTTTCTAATGTGTAACACGTCCTCGAATAAGCCATTTTCAAATTTTTTACTGTTTCATTTCATCTTTTTCCTCATATAGCTGTCGAACACAGTATACATTTCAATGAGACGCCGAAAAAACAATAGAAAATGTGTAGAAGAAAATAAAAAGAAAAAAGACAAGAAGGAGAAGTTCGACTTATCAATCTTTAGCATTTCTTTGTATTATTGAGAAAAACTACCGACGTCATAAAAAGTCTTTTTTCGTTTTCTGTGTAAGTTAGACAATTTCAATATGGTTGGTTTTGTTGAAAGGGTTATTTGAACAAAGAAAAAATTAAATTAATGAAAGTGTTTCAAACTTGTATTGACTGCTTAATGGTTGTTTACAACTACATGGAACTAATGGTCAAATGTTCAATTATGAACTGGAACTATGCTGTGTGAACATAATTTGTGTTTGATTCAAAATCAGAAAGTTTTGAAATGGCTCTCTTTGAAAATAAGAAGAATTCAGAACAGATAAAGGAGCATTTGATAGAAAATATAAGGGTTCGCAACAACACAAACGACTCTCAGAGGCTAAAAAAAGGATAATGATCACTCAATTGGTGAAAAAAAACGTTTCATATCTTTTGATATTCAAATTATTGTCGGAAGTTCTTCGAGAATATGTTTGAAATTATAGAGAAGTTCAAAAGCATAACTTTTGTCTGCTAGAGTTTGGAAATAAAGCATCAATGCATATGAATTAAAGTATATGAAATACGTGTAAATAGTTCTTATCAAGTAGAGTATTCAACAAAATTATAATTGAATTTTACTCTCCGAAGTTGTGTTGTAGGCTATTTAAGGCAAGATAAAAACTGAAAAATAACAATTTGTGACTAATTTTCCGATCGTCATCGTTTCGTTTTTGTATACTTTTTTCAAAATGTTCTGTAATTTTGTAGACGGTTGAACACATGAAATTCATGAATGCGTGATATCTGGTTTCAGAAATTTGAGAAAAACATTCGTTTTTGACAGATTTTTTTCTATTTTACCGATCCTTGAAGAATATTTATAATTTGAAAAAAAACAGCCAAGCAACACTAGGGAGTGTTCCTCACAGACTGTGAAATGAGAAATTTTGATTAAAAATCTTGTCAGGAATGGAAAGTGCTGTCTGTATGAAATAATTCTTGTTCTTCGTTATTCTTACCACTCGAGTTATTTTTTCTGTTTTTTTGTGTTATTCGTTTTATTGGGATTTCATAGTTCATTTGGTTGATTTTGAGTTTTGAGTTATTGTTTTGAGTTATGAAGGTTGAGCCTATTTTCTCGAGTTCAATTCTGTACTGCTTCGGTAGTGAGAAAACCATTTGTAGAAACTAACAGTGATGTGAGAAATCGATTGTTGGTCACATTTTTTGAGTTTCCTAAAATTTTTCATGATTACAATCCTTCGTGTTAAATTTATACTACAATAATAGTTCAATATATACAAACATACAATACACAAATACGTCATTAATCTTTCTTTTGGATTTTCAAATTCCCAAAAATTCTGTGACAAGCAACATATTCTTGTTGATTTTTGATCAATTGATTGAACGGAAGTGACCAGTAAACTTCAGCTGGCAAAGGTTGATCCTGAAAATGATAATTGATTGTTGAAAAATACATAATTATTGCATTTTCTAACCTTGAAGAAACTGTATTTGGTACGACGGTAAACTCCTTCAATTTTGATTTGAGTAGCCATTTGTTTGCTCACATCAGAATCGAAAACATATACGGTAGCGAAAACTCCAATTGCTCGAACAGAATTCAAATCCTGAAATATGAGATAATTTTGCTTTTTAAAACTAAATTTAGAACAAACATCAGCTTGAATGAGTTGGAGGAACGATTCTTTTGTCAATCCTTGAGATGAAATAACTTCTTCAATATTTGGAAGACAGAATGCAAGTTTCAAATTATCATAACTTCCACGTTTCAAACCATCTTTGCAACTGATTGGCTTTCCATCCAGGAGAAGTTGAGCTCTCACTCCAATTTTATCACCAAAAGTTTCACAAGCGTTGCAATACAAGCATGAACCAAAACCTCCACAACCATTTTCAGGCTGTTTTGCACATTTTTCTGGGACAGAATTTTTCTTGGCAGTGTTTTTAAGTTCCAAATAAATTGAAAAATCCCCACCGAAGTCCTGAAAGTATTTATCTCGGTAGTTTATTGATCATAGTTTATTGATCAATTATACCTCTAAAACTTCAACTTTTCCTCCGATAGTGAAACAGTTTGGTTTTCCATCTTGAACTTCAAGTTTTGGTCCTTTTTTGTCATTTCCAGATTCAAATTCGAGTTTTTTGTTCCACTTTCCGGCTGAAATTGAAAACGGTTATTGTGAGAATGGAAAGTTTATTTTCTAAGAAGAGGTTTTCAAATCAGAACAATATAATTTTGAAAACAGACCTTAATTCTCGTCAGTATTTTAGCAGTCTTCAAAATTTTCGAAAATAAATATTCATTCAGTACAATTTTTTTCAAAAGTTTGATATGAGCTCTCAGGATTCAAATTAATAGGTGATCATTTTAGGAGACTCTTATAGAATAAATTGTTTTTATACTCACCTTTACATGGTTGATGTTTGATAAGCTCAAGTGTAACACTCAAGTCATTACCAATATCAACATTTTCAGCACACAATCCAACACCAAAAACAGCTAATCCAAGAATAAAAATTCTCATCTGAAAATGAAAATATTAATAATAACAATTCAAAACCAAACCAAACCACACAATCAACTAAAAACTAGATGAATGACTAAATAAAAGGTGTGCCTCCCTAGGCATATATTGTTATTTTTCAGACAGTTAAATAGTTTACAGTCAATGATATTGTACAAAAGTGTAACAATTGTTTGATGATGAACAAAAACTAGGCAATTGTGTATGCATGTATGAATGTGAGTGACAAAATCTCTCACTCTATTACTTTTACTTTTACCTTTTCTTACTACCAATATTATTTTTATTATGGTTTGGTTTTTCTTTATTTAAACTAGTTCTTTACATAATCTTTAACTCTTTCAAACAAACATCATTTATGAAAATAAGAAAAATACGCGAGTAAATAACATAAATTCGAATTTTGTGCAGACAATTTGAAAAAGAACCCGCAAAAAAAATTTTCTAAAAATATCCAATGAAAACGTTATTTTTGCACATCACTCAAACTGATAGTTCCATACAATTTATGACATCCAACAAACACGCTTTGCTTTTTGATAATTTGATTGAATGGAAGATTCCAATATGTTTGAGAATCAATTTGTTCATCAGCCGAAATTGTGCGAAGCTCACGAATACGAGATTCCAATTTTCTTTGAGATCTGGAAAAAATAAAAAAGTCTCCCAATGAAAACTTGATTACTCACACAAGAAGTGGTTTGATATCCTTATCAAAAATATATACAGTGACAAAAAGACTGAGTTTTGGTGGCCCATTTCCTTCTTGAGTTGTCGCAGCAAGAATATGATCTAACGCATCTTCAGAAATTCCTTGCCATTCCAAAAGCGCTGATAATTTTGGCAAACAGAAACGAAGTTCAACATTGTCATATTCGCCTTTCTGAAAACCAAATTTGTTTTGTTTGAATGATTTTTTCACAAGGCGATTCACTAATTTTCAAAGACCACGAGTGATTTCATCCTTTTTCGCATATAATTATAACATCTATTTTGGATGAGAGTTCAATTTTATTTTACGATTATTTTCAGTCGTTGGAAAAACAAATTCATTTTTCTCGTTAAATTCGTTCCAGTCGTAAAATCAATTGTTTTTTTTTGTTTTTGTTAAAATTGGTTCTCAAAAAATATGAAATTTCGTACTCGATGTATTATCAAAATCAGAATGTGTTTCAAAAATAAGATAACTTACTTTCAATGGTTCACATCCAGCAGGTTTCCCATTCACAACTAATTGAGCTCCAAGAATTTTTGTTAATGAGTCTAATGAGTCACACGGCCGGCAATAAAGGCTATAAAAAATGTTATTTTTAGATATGTAGATTGAGATTTTTCCAAGGGTAATTACCATGATCCAACACCTCCACACCCAGTTTCTGGATTTGCATCGCGGCAAACTTCTGGTGGTCTTTGTGTATCACCAGTTGTTGAAACTGATAAGTAGATCAAAAGTTCGTCGCTGATATCTTCATGAATTTTCACTTTTCCCTAAAGAGAATCAAAAGTTTCATCGTAAAATCGAATTTTTTCAACCTACACTTATAGCATAGCATCCCTTTTCTTCAGCTGATTTGAGAAGCGCACCGCTATCTGAATGACCACCTTGAAATTCAATTTTTCTAGTCCAATGTGATGATTTTCTCCAAGCGCAACTTTGATGACGATGAAGATTGAGATTGAGATATTGACACGATGTTAAAACAAGAAATGTTGCGATTAGTATAATTTTTGTTGTTGAAAAGCTCATATCTGCAAAAAAAAACAAAAAACAGAACACATAAATCGATTATGATGATTGAAACAAATGTTTGTTGGATAAAAATTGGCTATAGCTATTGTCAGGAAAGCAAAAAAAAAGAAGGAAGAAATATACGAGGAAAAGGAACCTGTTGTAGAAGGTGGCATATAAGATGTTTGATATGTATGATGATGTTATGACAACGGGCAATAGAAAAAATGAGAAATGAAAAAGAAGAAAAAAAATCTTTGACCTGACTGACATGAAAAATGATCTTAAAATGTTTATTTTATATAGTTCTGAAGTCACTTGAAAAACGAAAACTGTTACATTTCAAGGGGTCTTTTGTTATTATTCTTTCGGTATTTATACGAGTGTTTTTGTTCGGAAAAATAAAATGAAAGAGAAAAAGGAAATCCATCTGGTTGGATTATAAGAATATTCATACATCGGATGAATAGAAACTGGTACAAAGGTTGAAATATAATTGCTGAAAAATATAAAAATGAAAATATAGATAATCAGAATGAAAAAAAGAGAAAAGATGAATGAATGGTTGTGAATTAGCGGAGACAAAAGACATATCAAATTGTATAAGAAATGAAAACGAGAATTTTTTGAATGAAGAGACCATTATTCTCTTTACGTGTATACATTTCATTAATTTTGAACTTTGTTATTTTTTACGATTCATTTTTTTGTAATTTTACAATTTTCAATGTCTGTGTATATTTGTTTTGATTTTAGAGTAAAGAGTTTAATGAAAATCGTGTGAACATGATTGTTTCTATTGACAGTTCAAAACTCAATTGCTTTTTTATGTGAACTTTCAAGTCTGTGATGTTGCATTTTTTTTTAGAAAAAAAGTTATATAAGGTCAGTTGCATAATTGATGAAATAATAAAATAAGACATTTGCATCTCAATATTTTTTTATAGTTTTCATCTATCATTCATTTTTCTAAAACATTTTTTTTGTTTGAAGAAAATACGAATCCCTGAACAAATGACTCATATAAATATATTCAAATTTTCAAATATCTAGTACATATGCAGTTAATTGTAATTCTAGTCGCGTTTAATGAGATTATCTTGTTCTGAACTACATAAAAAATGATCTTTTTCTGATCTTTTAATTATGTGTTGTCAATCCAAAAAAAATTAGAATCTATTTGAAAAATAAAATCCGAAATTTACACGCTCGCTTTTTTTCTTATTCTTTGCCAACCAGTTTGATGTGTAAGGATCACGTAATTTTTGTACGTGAGCGCCAATTCAACCAGGGAATTCTTATTTTCGGATTGACAATCGAATAATTAACAAATAAGAAACGAATTTCAAACATTTATGTATCACCACAGAATTTGAAGAGGAAAAAACAAAGTAACAGTTCTGAATTAAACTGCAAAAATTATCCCCAATGAATGCTGCTCAACGCCAATTTTGGTCGGAGTGCTCCTTTTGCAACTCTCTCCATCATATCACTTCTCTTCACTGTTTCAATCAAATCTTCCGAGTTGTCTGGAGCCCACGCCATTTCATTCTGAAATGACATGATGTGCTGGTTTAAATTTTTCAGCTGCTGATATTTCACATACCTCAAGTCCTGATCTTTTACCCCAAAGCATACTTGATTTTCGAAGTTGGCCTGGAATTGTCCGCTTGGTTTCAATGTCCTGAAAAGATTTCGAATTGATTGGTTTGTAGGGAAACAAAAATCTTACATCTCCTGATCGTTTTCCCCAAAGAATACTCGACTTTCGAATGTGAGCATTCAACGCTCGCTTATCAGCCAGATCCTAAAATCAGAAATTATTTTCAATTTGATTTCGATTCAGTTAAACTCACGTAATACCGATTATCACCGCCGAATTGCCATCTCTGAAAAATGAATGAATCACGTCATAGAATAAAAATATAATTTCGAAGAAACCTCAAATGTCTAAATATATTCATCCTCACTCACCTCAGCAAATGATCCAATAACGAGAACAACAAGAATAAATAATGTGGTAGTAGTAGTACTTTCCATGGCGAAAAGAAAAAAATGTAAATGAAATTGGGAGGGATGGAGGGAGGGAGTGTTTCGAATTGAGCACCCAAAAATCACCTGCAAAATGGGCGTGGTTTGAAAGAATTGAGAGAAAACTCGAAATAAAAATGTTGCGATATTCTGAGAATGTGTTGTTTAATCTATTACTCCCATATAATATAAAACAAAAAAAAACTCAATTATAATGCTTAAGGAAAATATACACATAACTAGAATAGGATCTACTTTAGTCAGGCTTGAGGAAATTAAGTGATCAAAATGATAAGAATAAGAAGAATAATAAAATAATAATAAAAACAATAATACAATTTCAGCCAAATAATCACGGGGTTCTGTTTTCTTTTGTTGTTTTTAATTAAATATATGAAGATGTAACGAAAAACTGATGTCGAAAAAATTTTTGCACAACACAAACTAACAAAATTCTTGAAAAAATACATTAGACAAGAGGATTTGCACTGCACAACTGAAAGGTCAATAGAGTGTGAATATTTTTTTTGTTGAAAAAAATGGTATAACTTAAGAAAATATGAATCATTGAGTGAAAATATAGAGAAACCTTGGGGGATTAATCAGACTGAACAAAATTCGTATCCGATGAATTTTGTAGCAATGGTAAACAAATTTTTTGAAGAGGTTTCTTGAAAAAATTAGTCTTTGAATTTCTTCTGATATTTTTTCAAGAGTTTTTTGAGAGTGAATCTATTTCTGTTTTAATTTTCAAGAATTGACATCAGAAGACTCCACAAAAACACGACCTTGCTTCTGTTTACGGCATTTTTTCAAAAGTATTGTTCAAAAATTCTATTCATCCACAAGTTCTAGATAAGTTCAACTTCCAGAACTAATGGTTTTCGAGTCTGATGATTCAACTTGGTTTTTTTCACTGTTAAAAATATGTTTCACAAAAAAAGCAGGTGAAAATTCAAAAAAAATCACAAGTTTTTCTGGACTATGAATAATCTAACTAAGTTCTGGTGGAATTTCTAGAAATGTTACCATATAATTATTTGAAAAGTACATGGAAAATTACTATGGATGATGAAAACAATAATTAGTTCTGTCAAGTTTTTTTCCAGATTCAAAAATAGAATTTCAAAAAAAAAACATATAGAGAAAATGATTCTTGAAAGTTAAAGTTCTTTGAGGTTATCTGAAAGTGACAATTTTCCAAGAATGATCTCATTGTTCGTTCGTTTTTCATTAGTTCAAAAATAAATTGAAATTAGTTTCATCTATTTTTTCAAATTATGATATCAAAATTATAAATGTCAAATAAATTTTTAAATACTACAGAGTCCTGAAAATGAATAATTTATTAAGAAGGAATTCTAAAATTATCAGAAAAAATGAATGTTTGGTGGGAGGAAAGACAAGGAATTTTTTAAAATATGGAAAAAGTGGTGCTGAAGTCTGTAGAGGTAAATAACAGTTTTTCTCCAAACTTCGGTTGGAAAATTATTAATTAGGAGTTTTCAAGTTTTGACCTGCCAGAATTATATTCCAAAACATCCGAAGAAACTCCATGCATCAGCTGTTTCCTTGTGTTTTGATGAGCTTCTTCTTAATATTAGAACCTATCACACCAGTTTCTCCTTTATTCGCTCCACTTTTTGAATTCCATTGTCTTTGAATCTGCTTGTTTTATAAAAAAAATGCATTTTCTTTGAAAAATTTCTAAATTTCAGCGGAGATCAAGATACATTCAAAAATGACAAGCCAAAAAATCATCGAATTAGTGAATGGGATCGTTCAAAGAATTTTAGTGAAACATTTATTCAACAACGTTTTTTTCACCCACGTCTTTTCTTCAAATTCATTTCCGCATTTTCTAATTTCATTATATGTACAAACGGTTTTTAGTTTTTGACTTTAACAGTATTTTCTCAACAGCTGATTTCATTCTTGTTTATTTATGAATTTTTATGCTAACAATGATATCAGTTTGTTAATTTTTAATGAATAAAGGACATTTTAGAACAGATGTTTTTATCCACGAGATTAGCTGATATTAATAAACTTTAACCAAAAATTCTGATTAATTATTCAAAAATGAGAAATATTAGGAATCTCAAAAAAATTGGGAGGAAAAAATAGGAAATTGGGGTTTTCTAAAATTTGATGTTTCTTTTTTTCCAGGAAGTTATATCCCTCTCCAAATATTTCAAATAAAAAACATTTATCGTTTTATATTTTTCAGTCAAAATCTAATATTTTGTAAACCTAATGCAGACCAACAAAAAAAGAAGCCACGCTACACGAATTTACTTTTAATTCCACAGCAATGATTTTAAACTTTCAATTATTTTCTTTCAACAAATTTTGCGAGTACAATGAGTGCACAAAACAAACAGGCAGCCATCATAAATATGCAAATAAGGCGAGGGGTGTCAGGGAGTCCTGTGGTCTAGTGGCTTAAATTTGCTGGTTGATCCCCCGCCCACGAGGTCAAGAGTTCAATCCCGGCCTTGGGCCTATTTACCCCAAGGAGGACTAGTACCCGGGGCTCTCTTTTGCTTTTTTGTTGTAGGTTTTATATTTTTTTTTGTATGTTTCCAAAGTGTTTTTTTTTGAATGCTGTTGTGAAACTATAATAATTGTTTTCATGTTCAAAAAACTTTTTATATTGATCGAAAATACAATCCCAAAACTTGTGCAGTCATTTGAGAAGAGAATAAAAAGAGCGATAAATATGTTGATCTCGCAGGATTTTTTGAACGGTACAGTAATTGTGAAGTTCTTTTCATACAAAAAACTTTGAAACCCTTGAAAAACCCCTCACTCATTGATATTCTCCTATTTGCTGTTTGTTTTCACGCAACACATGCGTGATAATAAATTTCCGACCCCGAAAGCATCATAAATTTCAACTACGTGAAATTGTTGTCGGAATATGTGAAAAACAAAATGTTGAATCCACTCAAAAATGTGAATTTTGGATTTTTGACAACTGTGAGAATATGTTTATTTTGGGTTGCAGAAAATTGCTGATATTTTGCACGTTTTGTTAGTTTCGGCAGATGTTGGTTGCAAACATAAGAATGAAAACACAAAGTTGAAAAAAATCTGGAAGATAATACAGTATTCAACAAAGTATTCGGCTTTTTTGTGGTTTGTAGTTTCAAATCGCTGAATAAAAGTTTGTATAAAGAGAAAATTATATTCCAGTTTGAAGAATTTTCTTAAATGAATTTCATTAATACATATCCCATTATTCTGAACATAATTTAATATGTTTTATAAAAAAAATGGTGTGTTGCATCATTAATATAAATTGAATTGTAATCCATTTATTTTCATGAAAACAATAGTCGTTTTCAGACAAAAAATACTCTGTGAACTGGAAAATACGTATTTTTTCAAAAACCAAAGACTTGTCTACAAATTGTTTCTAGTAGAATAAGTTTTGTTTTGTGATGTCATAATCAAACTAAACTGTATGTCTGATAGAGATTAGTCTTATATGTAGGCTAGAAATTTGTGTAAATTATCAAAATTGCATTCAACACTTGAAATTTCAATCCCCTTTTCATATTCTGACTAGTCTGAAATTGTATTACAAATAAAAATGATTCTCTGAAGATCGGATGTTCAAATTATTTTCCATCTGATCAAAAATGTATTCATAGAAAATTTGTAGTGTCTTACTCATTCTCATTATTTTTTGGCATTTACCAAACTTGACATTTCATTTTACCACTGGAAAACAATGTGAAAAGAAAAGTCAAAGGCAGCCTGAAAAATTGAGTAGCAAAAAAAAACACAAAACATAGGTGTCGGAATATTTTATGATCTACGGATTGGCAGTTTCCTGACTTTATATCCCATTCCAGCCCATTTTGAAATAAAATGAGAAGAAGATTAACAAAATTTAATAATGACTTTTTGATTTTGACGTATTCTATACCTAGAACAAATATGATTATACCCCTTTTAACTCATTATGAACCTTGTTTTTATAGAGACGATGCAGAATTGTATGTTTTTTCATTTTTTATATTTTGATTTCTAGAAATTTTTGTTCGCGGAAACCACAAAACTCACATTTAGAACAAATTTCAAAAATAATCATCTCAAATTTCAATATCAAATTATAAATACCACAAACAAAAACCAAAAAATAAAACCGAAAAGCTTTGTGTAAATAGTGGGGTCCGTAGAAAAAAAACAATCCCAAAAAATTAGAAAATTTTTGGTCCTGTCAAAAATATTTGAGTCGTGTTTCTCATTTTCTTCTTCTTCTTTTTTTCGAAAATTAGTCCGACGAAAAGAAATGCCAGACTAATTTCATAAGATTTTTATGTGCTACTTTTTCTCTTTTGACATTTCAAAGTTCGTTCGTTGAAAAAAAAGTCATTTTCTTCTCAACGTTGAAAATGTTGAAGAAGTTCGTTTTGTAGATAGACTGAACATGTTTTACTCACATCAGCAAAAAAAAAGAATTTTTCACGTCAATTTGTTTTTCATTTTGCACTTTTGTTTTAATTACAAAATATTCTGTTTTTCATTCAGATAATGGGTATTTTTGAGATTTTCTCTCATTTCTGATGACGATAATCTACAAGTTTCAAAGCATAATTAGGACAATCAATTTTTCTCTCCAAACACTTCCTTTCCAAAAAAGTTCAGCTTTTCTGAACTTTATAAAAGTTATCCATGAGAAATTTTGCTCTGAATATATCACGAGAAAAAATGTATTCTTTGATTTGACACAACAAAACAATAATCTATGAGAAATTCTTGATTTCGAATTTCTCACTCATTTTTTCTTTTCACTCACTCATTCCTGAATCTCAATAAAATTAGTTTTTTTTTTCTGTTTTTCTCCATTTCAAATTTCCGAATAACAATTAATCATTAATCTTTTCATCTATTATTTTTTGAAAAATCTCCTAGGTTGTTTTTTTTTGCAAAATCTTTTTTTCCTGCATAAAAAGGCAACATATTTTGTAATTGTTCTAAACGATTAAGACGAACAA